CCATCTGTCGCTCTTCCTGGCGAGCCTGATGAACACGTGTAGGTCGAACCATCTGCTCACAAACCCTGCCATCGTATCGTGCTCGACTCTGCTTTTCCCCTCTGAACAGAGGTACACTTGACTGTTCTTCAAAAGCTTCATCCTGCTGGGCCTGGCAGCTCACGCTTGCGACCCCAGCTACTTGGAAAGCTGAAGCAGGAGAAATGCAAGCTCAAATTAGCAAGCCTCACCTCAAAAAGGGGAAGGGGTTCTGAGGCTGGAGCTGGAGACGGAGCGCAGGGACACACAAGGCCAGGGACCGTTCCTCAGCATGGCAAAACAAACCCTGACACCGAACTTCAGTCTGATAATAAGCAGCCTTGAGTACGCATCTGCTTTTAATAAAATATGTAAATGATAGACATTTTGAAATGGCCAACTTCTCTCCAATTCTTTGCTAAATGGCTTTGAGCCGTCATCAAATTGGCCTCCCTGAGTTTTGACTCAGGTTAGGGCTTTTCCCCTCCGGCATCCGCAACCGCCCACTCCTGGGGTTTTGTCCCCAAAGCCTCACTTCTGAAACCTTGCCTCTGAGCACCTTGTCTGCGTCGAGGCCTCTGCTGCTACGGCTCAACGATTCCATCCCGTCACGATCTCCGCCTAGACCTCTTTTTTCAGCTGCCTTCTCTCTCACGTCTCGACGTCCCCGTTCACCCAGTTTGGAATCCAGACTCATGTCTGTTGAAAGCAGTGTGGTCCCCCAGGGCACCCTCTGTCTGCGCTCAGCCGTGAAAGCTCTACCCCCCGGGTAAACTCTATTTTCTATTTACTCCATGCCATTCACCGGAACATGGGATGAAAAACTGTATCGTTTTAAATTCATGGTCGAAAGTCTCAAGTGTAGTAAACCTTACTCAGCAATTCTCCTCTATTGCCCTAAAAATATTATCTCCAAAATTACTACTTCTCCGAGACCTGTCCCTCACCACCAGTACGTTACATCTATTTAAAAGCAAACGTCCTTCCCGGTCCCCGCATCCCCTCAGATATCACCTCATCGCTCTTCTGTGTGCCTCTCCTCTCCCTTGCTGTTCTCACCGACGTCATGGCCCCACCCTGATGCCCTGGTCCTGCGAGGGTCTCTGGTGAGCTCTGTGTGTGATCCAGGGGTCAGCTTCTCGGCTGTACGTGTCACCTCCTGGAAACAACTGATACCACAGCCCTTCGTCCCTGATCTGTGGGTAGCGGGCAGCTTCTCATGGTTGTGATCTGTGCTTTAATCTTTGCAATTTTCAGGAAATGCAATGATAAGAAATGTGAGTAAAGTTCTCAAATTTGCCAAGGGCTTTATGAAGTGAGTACAAACACAGGTAAGCTTTTTTGTGCCCTGAGTGCTACTCAAACATCTTTACTTTTGAAAATCGTGAAACCCATCTGGAATGTAAATAGACAACAAGTTGTCACGTAGAAGTAGAAACTGCCAAGCCTAGAGATCTGTGCCCACCAGTGCCTAGAAAACCACACGAGGTGCAGTGCTGGGCTGCCAGCCCTGGCTGTGTCTCCGCAGCCCAGGGCCCCCCTTGCTTAACACAGGGGATGTCGATGTGTGTGCAAGCACTTTTGTGCCTAGTCACTGTTGGGCTGTAGCTCAGAAACGTCCCTCAGAAGTCCCTGTGTGTGTAAGGTGATTGTGCTGCTCCGACCCTCAGAGACAAAGTACTACATTGTCGCTCAACAGTGTGACTACAGTGGCAGCCATTACCTCCTTCCTACTTTAGGGGATTCTGGTACCAGGGATCAAACTTAGGACCCTGTGCTTGCGAGGCAGGCAAGGCCCTTATCCTCAGCCACACTGGAAGGAATGAGTTCTAGTATGACACTACATCCTCAAGGGACACTGTGGTAGACCAGCGTGATAAGTAGCTTCCAGAAACTGCCTGGTATCCACCCACTTTGGCCACCCTCTGCTCTTGAGTACAGACTGGACCTGACGAGCAGCTTTTAATGAATATGAAAAAAATAATGGAATCTTACTTTTGAGACACACCCCCACCAAATACGAAGAGTTCTGTCTCATTCTGTCTCTGTCTGGCTTTTCTCAGCTTGCTTGCTTTCTGAGGCAAGCCGCCTGGTTGCAGGATGAAAGGCCCATTCAACACAGGCAGCCAACAGGCACCATGGAACCGAGGCCCTCATTCCAACAACCATGTGAATGAGCTAAGGGACAGTTGCACGCCGATTATATTCTCTGAAAGTCCCGTAGCACAAACCCAGCTCAACCATGACTAGCTCAGGATGCAGTAAACTAAACATTTGTTGTTGTAAGCCTCTGTGTTTTAGGTCAATTTGTTACCAACAATAGATAATTAATATACCCAGTCTGCTTTAAATCGTCAGGATGCTCTCAGATGACAGGATTCGTGCTTTACAGTCTACATTCAGATTATGTATATTTGAATAAGGAGACAAGCAGAGCTGAGTACAGAACCTTCCCGAACATCTCTGCCAGAAAAAAACAAGACATCGAGAACGGCGCAGAAGAGAGGACACCTAGTGGCACACACGGTATAGCCAGGTCTTAGCAAGGGAATTTCTGTGGATTCAATTTCTTCGTGAAAAGGCTAGTGACTCGTGGGGCTGGGCTGCGGTGTAAGAACTGCTAACATTCTAGGACAAGGGCACTCAGACTGGAGGAACTCAGGTGAGCGCCACCCCAGATCTCACTAGCAGGAAACGCCATCATTAGGAATCTCTCCTGCAGTTTCCCAGTGGACTGCGTGAAGTGGCTACCACAGGGAGGCACACACAGAGAAGGAGATTTTCGGGCTCCCTTTGGTGACAAAGAAGAGAAGCAGCTTCTAATGTTGCTCTGGAGTAGACATTGGGCAGTGGTGACAGCAACAAAGATGGCTGATGTCACCGTTCTGAGGACCTTGTTCGCTTTCTCCTTTCTGATGTATGTGAACACCTAACCCATCAAATCCCCTGTACCCTGGCGGCAAGGAAGCTTAGAGAAAACTCAGCCTCTTGCTGCAAGTCAGCTGAAACCCTTTACGGAAAATGCTACGGACAGAAAGAAATATAATAAACATAAACACACGTTGGAAACTTTTTGTCTAATTGTGATAATACACACAATGCCAATCTGGAGACATCCTTCTAGCTTGGATTATTTATTTTCAAAATGTAAAGTCAATTTGGCTTGAGGATGAGACAAAGATTGAAATTAGCAAAAAGCAGAAATTGGAAAAATGAAAGAAAATACGAATTGCAACAATATTTGTACCGCTTTTATTTGTAAAAATAACCATCTGAATGCATTTCCATAGTATAATACAGTTAAGTACTTCATTATGTTATGTGAGCATCCAGTAGTTGCAAAAGTATTAAACTGTGCTTGAGAAGAGTCAGATTGGTTCCAAGTCATTCAATGAACTAAAAACAAATTTTCCTCATTTTTTACAGTCATGACATTTACCAGAGTCATCCAACTCCGATTTACATAAGAGAACATTACAGACAAAATCCCACCAAAATCATCAAACCATATTTTAGGCTGTTACAAATACGTTATGCAAACGATAACACTGGCACCAGATTGGTATCACCGTGCTTGGCAAAGATATATTGCACATGCGAAAGCATAAAGGATGTAGACAAAACTACCAAACGAAGATACTGGCATTGAACCTTCAGATCACTGCATAAGAAACGCATACAATTACATTTTATGCACACACTCAGATTGTCACTATCTTCAAATGCTCTTCTCCTATAATACTGACCTAGGGTTTACAGTTGTGTGAGAAGAAAGCATCTTAGCACTGCAATATCAAACATAACTTCTATAGAAAACTTTAGCATCTTCATTTCTAAGCAGAGATGGGAGCAGTAGGAGAAAAAAAAAACACTATACATTCAAAGAAAGGTTGAAATGAAACCTCACTGGTATTATATTGCTCTGACAACACTCAAATGAAAAAATACAAAATGTTTCACGGAACATTTTCAGAATATACAAATATAAAAAGGCACTCTAACTTCATGTTACAAGACAAGAAGAGGGATGAGTTCTTCAACAGACAAGCAAACCAAGTTGCTGGACAGTACAAAGATTAACTAGTGCAGCAAATCCATTGAATGGTCTTGTTCTAACTCCATAATAAATGAATAAGTCAAGCAGCTGTTCACTGCCTAAAGTACCAAAACATACTATGGTGCCCTTTTAGTAGTGATAAACAGAAATCCCCTGAGCTATTTACTGGAGAATCATAGCAGATTTTAGGCAATTTGGAGACAGAAAATACATTTACCAAAGAGGCAGACACTGGTGAACAGTTAAGTGAGGTGAACATGGTCTGGTGGCCGTGGCTAAAAATGAGTCTAAAAATAACACATTTAGGGAAAAGCACTAAGCAACCGAGACTCAGAAACAAGCCTTCTGGTTTCTTTCTGTAGAAAGCGACGCTGCAAACATTATTTCTAAGAGATGTAACTGGAGCACACAGAATGTATAGTTTTAAAAGTCATTTCTTAAAAAACTGATCTCTTATGAAACAGAGGGGTGGGTGGGGAGACTAGATACTGATTTAGGGGTCAGTTCCGGTGAGCATGACTTCATTTCCATCTTTCTAGCAGGGAAAAAATGAGGAACAGCCAAGCACAGCTCCATGGAGATAACGGCAGATGCTGGCTCCCTGCTCCGCTCCGAGGGCCCTGGACTCTGCTGCTCAAAGGGAAAATCATGGCTTCCCGGAGATCCTGCTTTAAATGCCCCCAGGCGAGCAAGATTTCCATTCACTTCTAGAACAATACACTGCAGTATTTCATGCTACTTTGACACTTGCAGCTCCCTTATTTTCAGAGTTTTGGTAATGGAAAAGTCATTATTGCTCATTAGCAATTTGCCTACTTTTGTCTTCTGGGTACAAGATCCCAGTAATGAATGTAACTGTACTATCTACCTAGAATGTACCAATAAATTCAATTTAAAATTAAAAAAAAAAGAAATTTGTCTTCTGTAAACAAAAAGAGGAGGAGGGAAACATTGTACCAAGAATTAAAAAAAACAAACAAAAATTAGTATTGGTGGTCTTGCATTTTTTGATGAAATTAATACCAGTTCTCTAAGACTTTTGAACAAGCTCTCATTTGTGAAGGACCCAGTGTGAGTTTTAAGTAAATCCGGGATATTATAAGAGGAAGATTAAGGACCTTTACAGCTAGATGAAAAATGTCACAAGAGAGTGTAGGTATTTGACCCAGCCGGGAGAGGACACTGTTTTAAAAATGATCTCACCAGTTGCCAGGGTGACAATGGAACCTATTATAAAATGTCTAATAATTCTGCCCTAATGAAACCAATTTCTTTCCTGTCTCTTCCTCCAGTGGAAAACGCACCTGAGCTGGTGATTTTATTTTCCTGCCGGCACAGCACTGCACTGGCAGCCTTGCCCTGCAGGTTGCTGGGACCATGAAAGATTTTCAGTGTTTGCGGGGCGACTCCTGGGTGTCTCTGTGCACAGGGTCCACACATGCCAGCTCCCCTCTCACAGAAGCGTGGGCTGTGGTGTCTTCTGAGCTCTCAACTGGCTATGATAGGCTGGGCCAGAGCCTGAGAGCAGAGGAAACCTTCGCAGAGGAAATGCTGGGTTTGTCCCCAGGGCTTCCAGCTGGCCCGGGGTCGAGGGTGCGTCTACTTTTTTAAAAAAAATCCTAAATCAGATACACAGCAATGAAAACAGAGGACAAACAGTGAATGTTTCCTCATATTTCTTTCATTCCAATAAATATAAACACATTTACATCAAAAGTATACGGACATCTTCTCTAGTTTGGCAAAAAAATAAATGGTGGTCAAAACCTTATCAGTGAGAAACGTCCAGCTGTCAGCTGGAAACCTGTGTCCTAAGAAAAATAAAATACGACAGAGACTGGTACTCAGAAAGGATCACAGTGGAACCCCATAGAAAAACCGCTTCAGTTCTTACTTGCAGTCTCAAGGCAAACGTGTGCAGCCTCCGTTTTAGACTGAAGCATTTTGGTCCTTGCGCACAGCTGGCCGAGGGGCCACACGCACACGAAGAGACAGACACTTAGTGCTCGTGCAGACGTGCAGACGTGTTCAGTCTCATTCTTCTTTTTGTACAGCTGCTGCAGATGTGGAACAGGGTCCGTTTGACCTAGAAGCTTTGGCAGAGGGAGCAGACACAGCATCACTACGCTGCCTTCCATCAGCATGCAACGAGCAATTGGCTTTCACTCCCGTGTGCCCGCGTCCGCCCTCTGGGTTCCCTTCCGCAGTCTCACTCACGCCCTGGGCGCGACCTCGGCAGGAAAGCTCACTGAACGCTTCCCTAGCGACGGACAGTGCTGATGAGTCAGCTGCTTTAGAGAAGTATTTTGATTTAAGAACAAATTGACAAAGCGTAGTTCTGTATGAAACCTGCGTATCATCTCAAAGTTGCGGTGCAACGTGATTTTTTCACCTGGAATGTTACTAGGGCAATTTGGATTTAATCACTCGGGCGAGAATTAGTCACAGGCTTGCTAGGGGAGCCCTGGGCGCCACATCTGTGTTAAACAACAAAAGCAAGTTCAGTCTTCCCATTCCTCTGGAAACTAAGATCCTCAGAAAGAAGTTCTGGGTATTTAAGCGCTTACTGCAGACAGGAGAGGAAGAGCTGGACTCCCTTGAAAAGATGGTTAGCAGGCGTTATTTCTGAAAATGAACGCCTTTACCTTTGGCTTCTAGTGAGGAAGTAAACATCAAAGCGAGAAGAGGTCGCAGGCATTTCCTGTCCTCGGCTGCCCTCCCCTCCCCAGGACACAAGGTGACAGAGATGCTTTCCTTCTCGTGAACAGCCGCCTCTCTCTTGCATTATCCCCAAAGAAAAAGAATGAAATACATGTTCTGTCCCTTACTTAACTGAGAGGTAGACTTTCACAGAAGTACCTTAGAGCTAAGGATAACACGAAACCAAACCCAACCAGGGCCCCTTGCACCAGTGTCCCCCCAGGACGGCCGCTGTCCCTCCTCCTCTGGCTTCCCAAAGCGCGGCCCCGTCATAATACTTGAATGTGGCGGAAACCGGAAGTCAAGCTTCTTCCCTTCCTCCAACACGTGCGATCGGGGAACGCTTGTACAGTCCCAGGTCAAAAGGTTTCGGAATCAGAGTCATTCTCATTGTACCCGTCCTCCGAGCCTACGTTGTTACTGCAAAGGCTAACCATGCTACCCAGGTTGGAGAGGGTCGTCCTGCTCAAATTGTCTTTTTTAAAACAAACGAAGTTGACAGCCGTCATTGCACTGGACGGAGAAAAAGGCATCATGGTAGCCAGAATGAGGGCCAGGCAGTCAGCCACGTCTTTGTTAGGAGCGCAAGCCAGGGCCGGGGTATGACCTGGGCGTAAATGCAGACAAGGCAGCGGTTAGTCTGGGTCTGGTGCATCCACGACCTCGCGGGGAGATGCGTGTGGAGTTAGAGTTCATGCTGGGTGCGGGAGGAGGGGTTACTCATGCTGGGGCTGAGTCCGAGGGACGGGGAGGGGAGGCAGTTACGGAGTTGGCTTTATTTTGCTGTGCGTTCAGCTCATACAACCACAGCAAGCACAATGTTATCTGGAGTGAGGCGGAATTCCAGCCTTGATCTGGAGGACGCAAACATGAGGAGGTGGGGGGACACAATTCCACGACAACAGGAGCAGCACGACAGGGAGGACATTTCCACGGGGGAGGGGCGCTGGCGGGACGCACACCATGAGCCTGGGCCCCGGCGAAGGGACCTCATTCTGAGAACAATGGCTTCCCACGGTAGGGACCGTGTCAGGTTGGAGAAGACGGTGAAAGCTAGGTGGCCGTCCAAGTGGCTTTACATAAAGTCTACACCAGTGATCTGGATTTTGAAAAATGGAATCATTTGAACGAATCAGACAGGAGGGCACTATTTGCTTGTGATTAAAGATTTACGATCATTTAAAAGACATGTAACAGATTTTTTTTTTTAAGAAGCCACTTCACTAATCAAAGTCCCGAATCTGAGGCAGAACTGTGGGAGCCTGGCTGCGCTTGGTGGGCCGGAGTTTGTCGCTGTGCAGCACCCAGACGCGATGGTCCAGTCCAGATGAGAAAATTGCCTCAATGCATTAAATGGGATCCCAGGGAAGCGCAATCCTTTCATTAGTTCCTCGTCCACTTTCCTCTGTTGGCCCAAGTGCCCACTACAAAACGAAGGGCGTTTGCTCGGGGTCACTCAGAGGAGCTGCCCTTGTACAAGGTAACGAAACCTGATGCCCGCCCCCTCGGCCCTTAGAAGCCTCTGTATTCCTCTTTCCGGTACGAAAACAAATAAGAATGGGCCGGTTAGCTCCCATCGCATTCCACAGAGGGCAGTGATGACAGAGAGACTACCTCATTGCCACACAGTGCTGTCCTTGATGCAGCTAAGCCCTGACGGGAGGCCACGTCCCCGGCCCCAGGACTCTGGCTCCTGACATTGCTAGGGGCTGAACAAACCTCAGAGGTCCCAGATTTATACTGGAGGAAAGCAAAACCCATTGTTTCTGATCTCTGGTCATTCTGGAGAAACACGGCCTTCTGCACACCAACCCGCAGGTGGTAGTGGGGATAAGAGGGCAAGGGAAGGTGAGGTGGAGATGGAGTAGCGGGGGCTTTCTGCGTTTCCTAGATGAGTCGGTGGGGATGGGCAGGGCACATGCTAGGATACACGGGGCTGCAGAACCAAAACTAAGTTAGCTATCAATGCCAGTGTGGCCGCTTACTTCTGAGAAATAGGCATGAGCTGCTAATTCCAATACCTGTAATAAACAGGTGAGTTACATTAATACATTATAACGCTTCAGTTAAATGCCGTATTTCAAAAATTACTTAATTCACAAATATCCAGAAGTTCCTCTAACGCTCGCTGAGTGGAAGAGGAATTGTACTTAAAGTGGTAGTTTAGTACAACTCTTGAATGTGTTAGCTTTCAGATGTCTTAGAAAACAGAGCAGAAAGCTTCCGACAAGAATTAGCTGGTTTAGAAAAGGAATGTTCTATAGATCAGGGGGAGCCTTAAAGTCTAGATGTTCATTAAAAATATTTTACTCATGTTCCCCAAATTTCCACGCTAGGAATAGGAATTCTGATCAGTCCTGAAAAAGGAGGTTTGATCTCAGAATGAACTGGAAAATACAGTGGGAGCTCTAAGCGTCAACCGGGCCCTTGAGCATGCAGCAGGGACCTTTGCAAGCCCCACCTCTTCAGCGTACGGGGAGGGCGCTCAGAGCGCCCGAGATGTTTCTCCACCAAGCCGAAGAGCTGGGGATGCTGCTGACGCGGCATGAAGGATGGATGGCAGTGGTGAGCGACAGGAGACAGTGTGACCCATGACAGGACAGACAGGACACGGTCGCCTCGCCTGACTTCTTACGTGGCACTTCCCAGGGGCCGGGTCTCACTGCTCTTTTTATTGGCTCCTAGCTGTCCCGCTGCCCTCTGGCAGCAACCAGCACAGGGAAGGTGCTTATGGCCACAGCGGGTGTTTTCCACTTACCATTTTCGTCCACCGCGAGTACACAGGCCCCTTTGGCCAGCAGCTCCTCCACTACCACCTTCAGGCCATTGCGCGCAGCAATGTGGAGGGGTCTGAAAAGCAACACAGAGAGTCAGCGGGGACACGGACTGGAGAGTGCTTCAGTCCGCCTGGAACTGCCCCCCAAAGGCCATGTGTGCGAGGGGCGGTCTCAGGGAGCAGTTACTGGGAGGTGGGGGGACGGGCGTGACCCTGGAAGGGGATGGCGGGACAGCCCTTCCTCCTGATCTCCTTTGTGTTGGCCACAAGTGCACAGCCTTGCTCCGCCCCACCACACTCCCCGCCGTGCTGTGCTGCCTTTCTGACCATGGACTACCGTCTCTGAACCCATGAGCTGAAGCAAACCTGCTCTCTCCCTAGGGCGACTATCTCAGGTATTTGACACAGGAGTGGAAAGCAATAAAGCAAAAGCGGGACACTTCGGTCAGCCTGTGTCATTAAAAGGAGGGTGTGCTTAAGAATCCACAGATGTTACATGGGTATTTGCTTTTTAAAGAAAATATGTGTTGCCCAGATCTTTCCTGGGTGCTAATGATCCGACTGTTCTTGTGTACTGGGCTTGGATTCCTCTGCAAGAATTAAAATATTCTACACGTCATATAATTTCAAATGTTGCTTAGTAGGAAGACAGCGGGAAAATTCAAACTTCGGTGTGTTTTGCAGAAGGCTCTTTCTACTTGAGCCTTTGAGTTACTGTCTCACACGGTCCATCAGTATGACTGGTGTTAATAAACACCCTCCCATCTTGTCACAATTAGTAAATGCACCCAGGGTTTTACGGAATGTGTGGTGCCTTAGAGAAGAATGCCAAACAACAGCACATTGTGCTATAAACTGCTTCATCATATTGACCAAGAAGTTGTAATATTCCTTTGCCTATAAGTAGTGCACAAATAATTTCCTAAAATGGAAAAGGAAGCAAGTTGTGGACATGTCACATTGAGGGTTACGATGAATTGCATTAACATATACCTAAGGCAAACAGCTTCAGAAACTCTTCAAATGTACTCTGGGAACCTGATGTAGAAAAGTGGTGTTTTTCATTCAGAGTACCTAATGCGGAAACATAACACAAGTACTTTCCCCAAACCCATCAGTCTATAGGCCCCTAAGATCGTTCCAGCAGCTCACTTGATTTATAATGCTACCACAGAAATATCAACAGTGGAAAGCAAAGAACAAAATCCTGTGGAGGCCTAGCAGAAGCAGGATTTTACTAAAACTCTGTCTGCTCATCCGCATTTGCAGGCAGGCAGCTGTGAATGTCACGAAGGTGAAGCTGAGTCGGTGTCCAGCCCCCATCACCCAGCGTGGACCCCACACTGGGGAAGACTCCTGAGTCTGCTGGGTAAACGCCCAGGGCTCTGGGCCAGAGGCAGACTTTAGTAGTCTCACTTACGTCTGCAGCGCATTGTTTTTGGCATTAATAAGGCTCTCATCTTGTATCTTGTCAAGTATCAACAAGGCACATTTTTCATGACCCTAATAAAGAAAAAGAAAGATAAGAAACATGAGATGGAAACACAGAAAAGTTCCCGGGTAATTACTTCCTTATACCTGAAACTGAAAATAAATTTGCTCTGTCTAACAATATTTTTCGAGGCTATTTTGTGCATGTTTCCCCCCAAAAAAGTAAATGGGCCCCAGATATTCTTAAGAGTCTAAATAAGGCCTATTAGGACTCGGTTAACATAAGTATGAATATTTCCCAGATAATTTTCAGAATTAACGTCCAGAGAGCTAAAGCAGATGGTAGTTTAGCTAGATTGGCTGGTAAATCGAGAGCAGCGTTCAGAGCACCCCTTACCTCATCCAGTGTTACTTTTTCACCATCCCCTGAGACCCCACCACCTCCTTCACTTATCGTTCAGTGATCTGGGTTCCCTCACACCCACCAACCCGCTCACTCACATCGCCGACCCCTCATGAGTGAGGAGGCCCTGACCAGGGAAGTTCTCTCTGCTCCTGCTTAGCCAGAGAAGGCATCTCTGGGCCTTATGACAAAGGTGCTGATAATCCAAAAAGTAAACTGTGGAAGCAGAGCTCCTCCCAGACTTGGGGCCTGGGGACCTTGCGGGGGCTCAGGCTTCCTGGGTGCTTGCTAATCCAGAGCAGAGCAAGCGCAGCGCCACCCGGTGGTTAGAAATGCTCGCTCCAGGCCCCCAGACCCCATCAGTCAGGATCTGTGAGTGTGTGAGTGTGTGTGTGTGTGTGTGTGTGTGTGTGTGTTTGTACTGGGGGTCAAACTTGGGTCCTTGCACTTGCAAGGCAGGCGGCAGAATCACTGAGCCAGATCCCTGGCTAGTATCTATATTTTAACCAAGTCCCCACAGATTCATCTGCACCATAGAGTCTGAAAAGCACTGCATTTATGTTCCCTGAAACACTCTGCCTGGAAGGGAACCTCATAAAACTGAGCACATCTGTGTGGTTTCCATGGGCTTCCCAGAGCACGAGGGGAGGAAACACCACCAGTGAACAAAGGCATGGCTGGGACTTGGGTCCTGCTGCGTCGAGGAGACACCTGATGTTTTAACTATACTGAAAAACCCAGCATCACTGGCTCCCACTGGCACTATGCAATACTGCCTCTGATAAAACCAGACATCCACACACTTATCTACGCACGCGTGGACACGCATAGATGTCTTTTATGGAAGCAGGACACAATCTATTTACCAACAACAAACCCAGCCACACTCTTTGCATACAACTGTGCAGCAGAAAAAAAGAGGGCAGGGGCAGAAACACACAAGGATATGTTGACCTGCTTTACAGCATGCTTTGCGGCTAGAACGATGCCTGGCTTTTAATGGAACAAAAGCAAAATGAGTGCAGCTGTTTCATTCCAGAAGCCACATAACTAAGGTCCTAGCCAAACCACAGCACCACCACTAGGAGGCAGACACAGGGGCAGCCTCAGGACAGAGGGCCTGTGGCAAGGACGTAAGTGACAGTGCCACGAGACGTGTGTCCTCTCACCCGCCGTGACAGAGCATCTTCGCCTCACCAACCTGCCGACTGCCCTCTCCCTCTCCCCCTTCGACTGATTCCACGTACAGTTGACGATGTGCACCTTCTGGGAGAACCACACTAGACTTCCAGCAGAGAGAAGTTATCACGTGAGCAAGTGCTCCGTAACACACGTTAAATTTGTGTACCTACTTTACTACTGGCCAGATGTAAAGGTGTATTCAAGTCCTTATCCTTCACAGTCAGATCAGCCTGGGCGCTGTTCACCAAAATATCTACAGGAAAAGAAGAGACAGAGACTGAGATGAACGGCGCATCTGATCACACGCATTTTGAAGAGGTTACTCTCAAAACAACATTTCAATCAGGACAGCTGAGAATTGTATTTCATGCTTTTAAAGAAAAAAAGAGCAATCTGTTGGCCTCTGTTCCACCCAGAGCCAAGGCTGACAGGCATTTAAGTGTCCTTGCAGTTCCTCTCTTTCCAATCAAACTGATTTGGTTTCTAAAGTGGAGACATTTCACTGCAGGGCGAGAACTGCCCCCATCCAAGTCCCTGGGACAGGAGGTGACCGAGGGAGCAGTCAGGTGGCCTCAGTCAGGCTGCCTGTGGCCTTTTCCATGTGTGGGGCCTCCAAGACCCTGCTTTGATTTCCCCAGGACCAGCACGTACCCACGGCGCCCTCCTGCCCGTTCTCTGCGGCCATCATCAGCGCCGTCTTCCCCAAACTGTCTGCGGCGTTCACCTGAGCGTCGTGTTGCAAGAGGAGCTGCAGGCAGTCCACGTGGTCCCCGAACGCTGCCGCGTGGAGGGGCGTCCTGGAGATTTTAAACAAGCCGGGTTTGGTTTCCTCCCTGTAATCACTGCCCTAGAAACGCGTGTGTGGAATGTCTCTGTTTACAGAAGCGATGGTCAAGACCCCTTGAAAAGCCGTCCAGGGCGTTCACTGAAGGGTCCCCGACGTGAAGGGAACACTTCAGAGTGGGGGTCTAGGTAGCCCTGACAGTGACATCGGTGCCGCTGCTGACTTCGCTCATCTTTGAGATGGAGACTTTCAAAATTAAGTCTTAAATGTGTAGGTAACTGGTTGTTTAACTAAAGATGTAAAAAGCCACATAACCTAATATGCATGGGTGACTTCTTTGAGAGGATGACTTGGCATAATTTATCAAAAAACAAAACAAAACACAAAAAACCATTTGCTTTTTAATCAAGTAATTCCACTCCCAGGACTTCATCTCCCAGATACACTTGGTCATGTGCACAGGTTCACAGATGAGAACATTCACTGGGCTCCTCCTTCAAATAGCAAAATATTGGAAGCAGCCTAATTTTTCTTCAATGGAAAGCAGGCTGAGCATCTCCATTCAATGCGATAGTATGTGCTTCAAAAAGAGTGGGGTAAATATGTATGTTCTGGCATGAAAATACTTCCAAGATACACTAAGAGTAGAATATCATCGCAGAACGGCTCATTTGCATAAAAAGAATGCATATGCATCTGTTTATAGATACATACAGAAAGCCTCTAGGGGGAAATACCATTCGGAGAGAACAGAGCACAGTGCTGTCTCTATGGGAAAGATTGGGTATTTTCAGCAAAGGGGAGTTAAAAAAATTATATACCCTTTACAATATCTAACTAAAACATCACACTTATGGAAAAGACAGATGTTTGGCTACTGTGCAAGTGCAGAGCGAGGCGCAGGCCTCACCAAGACTGCAGCCTGCACCAGGGCCCCTTACCTGCCTCTGTCGTCCCTGCAGCTGACGATGCTGGAATCCATGGCCCCCAGCAGCATGGATGCACAATTCTCATGGTCGTTTATTCTACAGAGGCAATAGATTTTCACGTGACGATCTCATTCTTTGCCATACACTCCCTGTTTCAGTTTTCTGAGCTTGTATGTCCCCTCCTACTGTGTCTTCCTTTCCCTCTTCCAATTAAAAAGATGCCACATACATAATGATCTAATGAAGTTTTAGAAAATCGGGTGCAAACACCCGTGGTATGTGGGTCGGTAGCACCTCTCCCGGGACTGCTGTACTGGGGTAGGGGTTCACTGCATACAAACATGAGACACTGCCAGGTGCACTGGGGACCCAGGTCGCAAAGGCATGTGTTCCTCACCTCTTTTATTAGTCTATTTTGCGCTTCTGAGGACTGCCCAGTAAAGTGGCCAGCATCCCAGGAAGCCCAAAGGCCATGCACAGACGAGTCGCCTTGGGTCTGGGCACCAGGCTGGCTGTGGAAGCCTGGACGACATCACTGTACCCTCTGAACACTGCCTCACCCCGGCGGACCGGAGGAAAAGTCAGGCCTCCCGAAGGCAAGACGTGTAGGGCCCCGGCACCGGAATGTGATGAATGTGGAAGGGCAAACGTCTTTCTAGCCCACACTGGCCGACTGCTGGCAGCCCTGGTTTCTTTTCAGAATTTGGCTGACAGCAGGGTCGACCCCCGCAGCCCCGCACATCCTGGGAAATTCGCCCCCAACGCTCTCCCAGCAGCTCTGCTGGGGGGCCTGTGAGTCCCAGGGAACTGCGCAACCCCAGAGCACACCCGGCTCGCAGGGCCGTTTGTCTCCAGCGCCACAGAGGAACCCTGTAGCCTTGGCCATCACGCAAAGCCTCTCGCTGAGCCTGGCGCTCCTACTCACACTGCACAGTGAAGGGGCGTGAAGGGGTTCCCCGCGAACGTGCGGAAACATTTCTGCTCCAGCAGTACCTCTATGCAGTTTTCATTGCCTGCGGAGAATCAACGGAACTTAGGGATTTTGCAAGAAAGAAACTTCGTTCCACATAGTCTGGTTTTGCATTTTCGTTCAGTATTGAATTCTAGCTTAGGATCTTGCCTGGACTGGCTGAATATCTGTTCTCTGTGAAACGGTAAATAAAACGTCCAGATGTTATTGACCAGGCTCGGAGGCTCTCGGAGGAGCGAGGGAAGGGGAAAAGGCCCTTCCCTGGCGAGTCCAGTGCTCCCATGGCCCAGATGGAGAGAGGCACCCGGGGCGCGGCGCTCGGAAGTGCAGCTGTCACTGCGCGAACTCACCCTCGGAGTTCACAGTCCACAGGACGGGGCAGTGCACCTCAAAAGGCTCTGACTGCAGACTGTTAGGTTTTCAACAAAGCCCAGCACACAGCAGGTGCCCAATAAGTGCTCTCAGGAAGTAGATGGATTAACATGAGGAGTTATTTCTAACGAAAGGACAGCTGGCTTCTAAACTGACTGATTTAAGTCGCTTGAAGATCTCTGCTCTGTCAACTTGGGACATGGCCCGAGGCCGCTCGCCTGGGGCCTCTGAGCTGCAGTTTCCCATCTGTACCCGCAGGAGCCCTGGCCTAGTAACAGGCCATGCGAGCTGTCACTGTACAGGTCCTAAGGCACAGCAGAGAAGCACCGTCCACCTAGACGGCAGGAAGACACCACTGCTTGGCATTGGAATACACACTGGTGTCCTGGTCCCTCTTCAGGGGCAAACTCAGAGCTCATTTAATGAAAGTTCCCTTGTCATCTGCCTCAGAATACCGAAGACTGGACAGTTTAAAATACTACAATACAAATAAAACTCTTCTTTGGAGAGAAGAGTTGTAATAGCTTTCAGGAGGACAGAAGCCTGGAAGGAAAGAGTAGGAGCAGCCCCAGCAGGCAGGCGACAGGGTCTCCAGCCACACTCAGCAGCCCACACCCCGTACCCCTGTTACGCGAAGCCCCTGAGGGACCTGGCTCAGGGCAGGTTCTGCAGCACCTTTCCGCAGGGGGACCTGCACCTGGTCTGCGCATGCAGGACTGAGAAGTGTTTCAAAGGTGCAGTGAAGGGGTTCCGAGGAGACGGAGGGGGGACCTGGGGGCTGGAGGAGGCTGCGGGGCAGATGAACCGCTTGGGACACCAGTTGGGACAGGGATGCCCCCCTGCTGTCCCCAGAGCCCTGGGGACAGGGACCCCACCCGTGCCCGGGAGGAGGCAGCCGGCAAGGTCCGGGCTACCACGGTGGCTGCAGTCACAGCGCCCTTCCTCTCCCACAGCTTCTCCCGGCCAGGGAGCCGTGGCTTCACTTGCCCATTTTAGGTAAAGAAATCACAATCCTCCAGGGGTAGGGAGGGGGCAAGATCCAGTTGAATAAGTAGAAATTTCGGCTCCTCTTATTAAGACAGAATCAGTGAAAGAAGAGAATCGATGGAATTCAAGGTGAGGCCTTAAAACTCTCCCTAGAATTAGTATTCATTTTCTAAATTAAGATTGTTAATAGAACTAGAAGTGGAAGAATAAAATAATCGAAGCACAGTAAGACATGTATATGGAGAGATACACACATAATCTGAGGGTAAGAGGCCACAGCGCAGCCAGGAACGGAAACACCGGCAAAGCACACGAGATTCACAGTGCTAACACCAGGCCCTCCGGCCGACACATGAGAGAGACAGACAACTCAATAGGGGAAAAGGTGAGCAATGAGTAAAAGAGATAATTTCCACAGAAGCACCACAAATAGCCAAAACATATGCTACCAGATAGGGAAACGCAAGTTACAACCATGAGATACCTTTCGGTCCTTCAAACTGACAAAAAAAAAAAAAAAAAAAAGGTGGTATCCTTCTGGACTGGCAAACGTGAGAGAAGGTATCATCTTCTGTGCATGCTTGGTGGAGTAATGACGACACCCTTCTTGCAAAGTCATGCAGTATAACTTATTAAAATTAAAGGTATACAAGCCCTCTTACTCAGATGCTTACCTGACAGGTGTTTGGTATCAGAGTAGGGACACATACACATCACCACACTGTTTCTAACAGGAAGGAAGAAGCTAAGATACCACCTGAATGTCCACCAACGGGGATTCTGGATGAAGAAAACACCTGCTGGAATTACAGGCCTGGCCAGCGTGCAGGGCTAGAGGTTCTGATGTGGTTACACTTACTGATCAACCCCGGGAATCCAAGTGAAAGCCAGGCGCACAGTGCAGGGCACTGGCCTCAGGACTCACCGTGGTAGCAGGCCCAGTGCAGGGGCGTGTAGCCCTGGCTGTCCCGTAGGCAGCAGTCCTCCTCGGCCAGCGCCGCCTGCAGCAGCTCGCTCAGCCATGTGGCATGGCCACGGGCGGCGGCGTAGTGCAGGGGCGTCCTCCCCCGGAAGTCCCTGCAGAGCACGGACACCTCCTGCTCCAGCAGCATCTGCACACACTCCTCGTGTCCCGTCATGATCTGGGAGCGGGAGAGCACAGCGGACCTCAGAGGGGTCCCAGGACGGAGGTGCCTTGCGCCAGGGCTGGGGCAGGACAACCTGGGATACCCACAGTCTGAGGACGCCAGCACTATGGGGACACAGCTGGCTCTTCAGATGGCCTTGGTGGGACGGCGACACTGTGGAACCCGTGGGCATTGGGGTTGAGGGGCGGGAAAAGGCCTGGCCTCCCCACCCCAGTTACAGTCCTCTCGTTTCTTTGCTTCTACAAGGGCAGGGTGCTGCGAAGACTCCGTCCCATGAGGCTGGGTGCTGGTGGGGAGTCGTGCTGTGTGGACCTCAGGTGTGTCCCCAACAGACCTGGACAGTGCAGCCCAGGACGCCCAGGTTCCAAGGCCCAGTGGGGGCAGCAGGCCACTGTCCTGAGCCCGGTGCCAAGGCTTTTGTGCACGTGGGAGCTCGGCAGAAAAGGCATGGCAGAAACCCCAGGGGACAAGAACGCCTCAGCCCCTGTGCTACGTGAGGCTGTAGTGTAGAGGCCAAGGTGGGCACACGGCTGCGCGTGTCGGCCCAGCCCACAGCACGGCTCACAGGATCTGCCCGAGCAGTAGGAACTGCAGTTGGCACAGGAGCACGCAGAGCTCCTCTTGTCTTCACCCATCAGGGTGTTTATACCATCCCCAAGTAGCAATTTTATGACTTCTGATTTTGTCCATTTAGTTTCTTTGACATGTTTTGTTTTACTTTTTAAATTTTAAAATTAAAAAAAAATTTTTTTGATACCAGGGATGGAACTCAGGACCTTGTACATGTGAGGCATGGTGCCACTGAGCTACATCCTTGGCCCCTCTTTGACATGTTTTAAAAACAGCTCAACAGATAAATACAGGCAGTCATTCATGGAATATGTACTTTGGCATCACTCATAATAAAGAACAATTAGAATTAGCATAATTGGCGCTCTAGGAGGTTGATGTTTGAGGGTCCAAAGTTCAAGTCCAGCTTGGGGAACTTAAGTGAGATGTAGTCTCACAATAAAAAAATAAAAAGGTTGGGGAGGTGGCTCAGTGCAAGTCCTGGGTTCAATCTCCAGTGCAGGAGAGCAGCTTGAATCCGAACTTTTAGATACTATTGATTTGGCGTATGCATTTGGCTATTGGTTAAAATTGTGCGTCCCTCCAAGGCCTGCGTGTGAGCTGCTAAAGGAGACTTCGGTGCTGTACGGAGACGGACTTCCCCGTGCCAGCGGCCACAACCGTGGTCCCAGTGACCCTGACCCCGTGAGGTCCAATGGCAGGTGCACAGGTGGCCGAGGAAGTGGGACTCCGTGCAGCCAGTCTCCGGGGTCAAAGTCAGCTAAGGTAGCGTGGTGGCTCCTTAGCTGCGCCCTGCAGGATAGCACGGTGGCTTGTTAACTGCGACCCGGCCTCACCGAGCGCCTCCTTCCTCCCTGTCACGGCCCGGCTCATTACTGCATTAGTTCTGCGGCTCCTTACTCCTGCCCTTGTGTCCCTGCTGTGTTGTGTAATCATAAATACGGACTACTCCAGAGGTCCTTGTCTTAGCCAGGATGGAGTGGAGATCAATTCCCGGTCCTCCAGTAATACACTATTGTTCTTTATTCCTCGGTCTTTATATATCTCCTTTCACCCCCTGCTGGACCCACAATCAGGTGATTGGGTGTCCCCGGAAAACTAACTGGTCAGGCTATCAACCAGTGCTCCAGTACTGAAGAAAGAGAAAGAAGGGGAGAGGGAGGGAGGGAGGGAGAAGGGAAGGGGGTGAGAAAAGGGGGAAGAAGGAAGAAGGAAACAACGGCTGAAAACCAGGTCATCGCCGAAATAAATATGGAGCCTGCACATTAGAAGAGCAGAAATGATAGTGCAGAAAACACACGTGGTGCTGTGGGAAAAAACCCAGATTCCAAATAGGACTTGGTGTTCTTTTTTGGAAGTGTAAAACAGATCTGTGTATAGAAAAAAAAAAAAAAAAAAAAAAAAAGACTGGAGCTACACACAGTGAAAGCACTTATCTCCAGCAGTAGGACTGCTGGTGGTTGTGATTTTTTTCTCTGTGCTTAAAAAAATCATTTTGCAAAATTCCCATGATGCACATAACGCAAAGCACCCTGCAATCAGAAAGCAGCCAGCCCCACTGGCAGGGAGTCCGAGTCTGCTCACACTAGTCAGGGTCTCAGAGCGGGGCCCACGGTGCCGTCCAGCGCGGCCCTCTGCAGAGGTGCCGCCCCTGCTCTGAGCGGCTGAGGCTGGCTGGTTGGATGATGAAACCACCTTTTCACTTTTAACTAAAAATTCACCAAGGAAGCGAGCACAGGCGAGCCTGGCTGAGGCGAGAGTGGCACGCACCCCTCGGTGTAGGGCCGTGCGCCCCATGACGTCCACAGCATCCACGCTGGCCTCCTTCTCCAGGAGCAGCGAGACCGTGTCGATGTGTCCATATGCAACCGCAAGCATCAGAGGGGTTCTAGGGCGAGAGACAGACAGGCTTCTGAGGGGATCGGAAGAACCTCCCAGGGGGCGACCGCTCCCTTCTCTTCCACCCCCGTTTGCTGTATACCCACGGAGGAGCCACCGGCCCAATCTAAGGCGTGGAAAGGACAAGCCACAGGGGAGCTGGCAGAGGCTCCCTGCCGGAGCACCCCGACAATCCGTCATCCTCAGGTCTGGGGCAGGGACCCTCTTGCTTCCTCAGGGCAGCTCCAAGTGCACAGCCTTCTACGCTGGACTTGTGCCCAGGACTTCATCTGAGCAAAGGTCCTGTGCCCCATGGAACAGCGCCACAGCTCCAGGGCCGGGTGCGGCTGTGTAACCGACAGCACTAGCGCTTCTGCCCTGCACTTCCTGTTCATAAGAGAGTGGGGTAGGGGATCCGCCAAGAGGTGGAAAATGCACTGAAACTACAAACGCAAGGAAGGCTAAGAGGTGGAAGGATTTTATAATGCTGCACATCACCTCTTAGTTGCACTGCATCACTAATTCAAAAAGGGAAAAGCTTCAGAAGAGGACAAATATGTGAAGAAGGGGAACAAGAGGGAGGATAAAAATGAGCCTCGCCATGGCCACAGCCAGAAAAAAGTGATTCTTTTCATCCAGATGTGCACTCAGCCACCCCTGCCACTCTGCCTGCACCCACTTCCGCCCGGTGCTGCTCCAGGCCTCAGCCAGAAGCCTCTCGCCAGAACACTCACTGTCCTCTGGCGTCTTTCACGTCCACCACTTCTGGGTTGTCTGCAATTTCCAGCAACAGCCGCAGACACAGGGTGTGGCCATTGATAACTGGAAAAGAAAATCGGGGATATTCTCTTAACAGACCCTCGCTGTGCACGGCCCATCCAAAGTGGAATCTACACGGACTTCAAGTCGCGGATTTTCTGCTGCCGCCAATGGCCTGGGTTTCCAGGTCTGGACGGATGGCACAGGATCTGCCTCTCCCTTTCTTCCTCCCAGGACACCTTGATCTTCACCTTCCTCCTCTGCTTCCTGGGAGGGAGCTTTGCTGGAACATGACCTCCTTATCACTGTAGAGGGCTGGTACACGTCCCCACTGTCAGCGCCTCTTTCTGTTCCCCTAAGAGAGTCACTCAGCTCCATCAATCCTTTGTGCCTCCTTCACTGTCAGCCCCTTTCTGTTCCCCTAAGAGAGTCACTCAGCTCCATCAATCCTTTGTGCCTCCTTCCTCTGGCCACTTTCAAGACAGTAGGGCACAGGGATGGCCTGGGAGGAGGCAGGAGAGAGGGGACAAAGGAGCAGGGGAAGACGGAAGGAGAACGGAGTAGGCCCTGGGTCTTCTTCCTGTCCTGTCCCCATCCTTGTCCACACTGCGGGAAATACCGTGGCCATGGTTCTCACTGATCAGTGAAACACCGAGCCACAAATGTCCTCATGACGCATGCACACAGCTCTCTGGTGAGGGACCTGCACCCTCAGGAGACATGGGGGGCGGGGAGCACCCGTGTCCTGGAATCCTCCAGACGATGTCCTCTACCTTCCTGGGTCTCAAAGCTGCTGCAAGTGAAGCGCTCACTCCTCCCCATTCTGCAGACTCCCCTCCCCTCTGTTCCCCTTCAGCTGACTCAGGTTCCCTTCCTCTAGGGCAGCAGCCCTGGAAGTGGACAGAAACTCTATCCCAGGGCAGCATCCCGGTGGCCCTGAGGCCCCGATATGCACCCAGGAACATGCTTTTTTGAGGGGGCAGGCACCCCAGTGCTAATCCCCTGGACTAAGGAAGTCCCCTTCCTCCAGTGGACCCTCCAAAAGCTTCCCCACGGCCAGAGCTGTGCACTCGGGGAACAGGAGGAGAGCAACGCGTCCACAGTGCCAGATGTGAACCTCTCTGCTCTCTGAACAGAGCCGGAGCGATGGCCTGGCCGCGGACACGGAGAGAGAAGGGAACAGACGCACCCATGCCAGGCGGACAATCCTTTCTACCTCAAGCCCGCCATGGGAACGCTCACTGAACACCCACACGGCCTTTCCGGGACAGGGAATATTACAATTAGCTCACATTCATCGGCACCACTTAAGGCCGCGCCGGGAACAATGGCCACAGTTTGCAGTGAGCTGCTTTTAGCTCGTTCTTGACAACAGCATTCCACAGACACATCTCGTCTCTTGGGAGGAAATTTTGCAGATTGGAGTTGCAGGTAATGTGCAATCACTGCTTTTGTTTTGTACTTTTTTGATTTTTATAATTAGACTAAATCTGCTGCCATTGTCGAGGAGTCTAATGCATGCCTATGAGGAAATAATTGCGGGAAGACCGACAGCTAAATAGTCCGGCAGTGGGCTCATGGGGAGAGGAACAGTGCATCCGAGGGATTCCTCTTTCTGTGTCAATCTGATATTCTTTAATGCTTGGAATTACAACAGTTCCAAGGCTGTCTTATTTTGGCTAAACCTAAGAAGGAAATCATCTAAGTTCATATCACTCACCTGGTGCACTGGGCAACCAAACAATTTCTGTAATTACATGCTTTTTGCACAGGAGCTTTCTGAGCTTAGCTAACAGCCCTCTGGAAAATTCAAGCACCCTTCTTAAATTCTTGTTGGCTTTCCCCCAAGTTGTCTTCCAGCAAAATGATGTCCACCTCTAGCCAGGCCCTGCCGGTCCAGCTTTCTCTCAAACTGGGCCTTTCCCTGGCTGGGTGACAAACGTCCCCATAATTGTTCCTGTGTCTGCCTGGGCCCAAACCTCTAAGCTCTGTCCTGGCCGCCACTCCTCATAGTCTCTGTAGGCTCAAGGCAAAGAAACTGGCCTCTCAACTGTGCTGAACAAGACTCCGGGTAAGCAGATCCTCAAATCACAGGCTGCAGCTTCACACAGCAGACATTTTGTGAAGTCAAAGGACCGCATCTTTTTAATGAGTGGCTCCAGGGACAGCCACACGGAGTGAGTCCTCAGCCACTAGGAGGCGCCCTTGCACCACACGATGTCACCATGGCAAATGCCAGACAATGACTTCCCTGTCCACCTGCTCTTCAGGGCCTTCTTCGAGCCCAAACTGGAGCTACACGGCCCCACAGCAGAGTGCCTTCCTTAAGGGTGGGCAACAGATCTTAGAAAGGGACAGCACGATTTGAACTCTATAAAAATGACAAGTGTGCCCGTGGAGCAAAAGGATTCAAGGAGATGGGCAGTGGAGATTTATAATCTACCACACCCACCATCGCCAACTTCGTGGCTAAAGTTTACTCCAGCAGCAATCATTTCTAGGTCATGAGGCAGAGCCAGGGTTTTTTTTCAATCTTTGTATCATGTCTCTCCCACGGCTTTTAAGCAAAGGGACACAGATGGAGTACTGCTACAGGATCCATCACACCTAGAAAGTTTTCCAAGTCAGGAGAACCAGAAGTCTTCTGAGAACTGTTTTCACTCCTTTGCTTCTCAATGCAACTGGATTTCACTGTGGGCCTGGGACGGTTTCCGTCTGCAGCCTCAGGCTCGAAGGCAGACACGCTGCCAGGTGGTGGTTTGTCTTTATAAATGCTGTCTCCTCCCTCTTCAAAGGCCGATAGTCATGGATTTCCCAGCTCAAAGGCATTTACGCCTTAGCAAAGTCAGAAAGCCTTCGAGGTTACCTTTATACCCATTACAGCTGCGAGTGCCTTTATGCAGTGTTGCATACCCACTGGAGGACAGTCCCAGGAAAGATACCTTACTTAGCTTTTTATAAATCCAAGTATTTTTGAAGATCCCTATTTTTCCCTGACCCACGAGGGAAAGCTCAGAGCCAAAGCTGAGCACAGGACCGAGGCTGGCAGGGTACGTGCTGACGGGACCCCTGCCTGCGTCTGCTCACATGGAGCAGCCCTGCGATGCTGCTCACGCTGGGCCTCCGCATGTACACGGTCTGCTCTGTGTAACCCGTTCTGAAGACGGCCCTGTGCTTCACTTTGTTCAGAAAGCTCTGCTATAGTCTCCAGCCAAAGGTTCTGAACTCTCTGAGTGGAGAAGAAGGCCAAGGGAGCCGGCCAGAGAACAGCAGGTCAGAGAGAGGCGGGCCAGAGGCATTTGGAAGTTGTAGTGAAGGCGATGGAGGAAGAAAACTGATAGGTTAAGAAAGTGGGATGCAAGGAGCAGGGACCACACCTACCCGAGGCATGCAGAGGGGTCCTCTTGGTCACGCTGTCTTTCACGGAGACGGAGGCGCCCTGGTTGACGAGAGCTTCCACACACTCGGCGTGTCCCTTGAAGGCGGCCAGGTCCAGGGCCGTGCGACCTTTCTCGTCCCTGATGTCCAGGTCCACCAGTGACTGCAGGAGGACTTCCAAGGCCTGGTGGTGCCCGTTGTAGGCCTGCGGGGAAGGAAGCAGTGAGCCAGTGACACGCGCGTGCCTGCACACCCCACTCCCAGCGCAGTGCAGGGGCCGGGCCTCTCGGGCCACAGCAGAGACCCGGGCTGCCGACAGCAGGTAAGGGAGTGAGGCTGCGGACCTTCGTCCACAAGCCTCACAACTGCGCTGCCCATTTCCTCACGTCCTTTCTGTTTTATCAGATAATTTGCTCCAAAGGCACTACTGGGTTCATTCACCTATGTTTATATTCCTATCAATTGAATCATCTAATATAGACAAACCGCTGCAGGATTCACACATCCCTCCGCCTGTTTTGGTTGAGTCCTATCCTCGAATCAACCAACAACATGGGGGATTTTCCCGGGACTCTTTTCTGCTAGCAAAGCTGGGGAAAACAATTACTGAAGACATCACGGACTCAGATTCAGTGGAGGCGGCCCCTTCCTCTGCCCTGCACTCGGCTGATTTCTAACCATGTGATCTCAGTCACACTTAGAGTTTGTTTCCTTGAGCATAGAATGAGAGCAATAAGAGCTGCCTCCCAGGGTTGCTGGGAGAAGCAGAAGAGAAAACGGCGCAGGGCTTCGTAGCTTCGTATAGTATCTTGTGTGCAGTTGGTGCTCTTTCTTCTCTCCTCTATTTCTTCCACTGATTCTGATGAAACTGTAGACACAGTGCTGGAAATATACACCACGCATGCACAGATCTATCGAGATGTCCTACTCTAGGTCAAGAGGAAGGGGCCGCAAGTGACTGGAAAACGAGACTGAAAAGGACCGTGACAGTAAAAGACTGGGATGAGGATACCTGGGAAGAAAAGCGCATTGGAAAGAAAGCAAAGGAAGACACAGACAGGAAAAGCTTGTCCCCAGGTCTCTGGCCAGGTTCCCTACACATTTAATTTCTCACTGCAGCTTTATTCAAAGTTCAGTGTATTTGAAAAAAGACTTGGCACAAAGGATCAATTTCCTTAATAGAAAGAGTTCTTAGAAACCATTTGGAAACTAGGAAAAGGTGTAAAGGGTCTAAAAAAGCCAACAGACATACAGAAAAAAATGTGTAAAATTTTCAAATACTATTTTTCAACTCCCAGATTGGCAATGATTAAAAAGTTGGGTCACACCTAATATCAGCTCCAACCGTGATCAAAGCAGGCGGATGCTCTGCTGGCACTCAGGCAGGTGTGACCCTGTGGAGGAGGGTGTGGCAGTGTCTACAGAAACATTTACAGAGAGGCTCAGCTGCAGGCAGCGCATCCCGCACATCCTCGTTTACGTAACAAGCAAACGCATGAGATTATATATATACATACACACTTCTGCTCTCGTGTACACTTTTATACTCGTAGGATACAGAAGAACCTATAAGTGGTGCCTATGCCTCAAGCTGGGAGACAGACATATGGACTTTTTCCATCTTATATTTTAAAACTGATTAAAATGTTTCTCCCTGAGTATATGCTAACAACAAAAAATAGATTTAAAAGAACCAATAGGAATTAGAGTACTAATAAATGTTTTAGAAATTCTCATGACATTCTTTGTGAAAGAGTAGGGCTACTGGGGCTGGGGATTTAGCTCAGTGGTGCTGCCACCTGCCTCACAAGGGCAAGGACCTGAGTTCAATCCCTGGCACCAAAAAACAAACAAACAAAACATTAGGGCTATTTTTACATATTAATCATCTGCATTATACATAATATGTAAGACAATAACCCATTTGCTAATGACTCCCATGTTTATATCCCAGCCCCAACTCCCCGCTGACGTCTGGATCTGCATCTCCAACGACCTCTTGGCTTTCCCACTCAAGTGTCCAACAGGTGTCGGAAACTGACTTCTGCTTTCCCAAAGCCTCTGGCCTGCAGCTCTCAGTGAAGACAACAGCTCATGCCTTGGAATCATCTTTATCCTCTCTCCTCTGGAGCCCAAGGCTGTAGCTTAGCAAGGGTTCAGGGACAAGAACACAAGTGGGCACTCAAAACTAGGTCTCCTTAACATTGCATGCCTGGCACTGGAGAGCAGTCACCCATGACCCCCTGTCCTAATTCACACAGAGGGGTGCTGTGTGACCAGTGGCAGCCCCCATGCTACTCCCAAGGCATCACTGTTTCTACCCTTTCTTTACAGTCTGTCCACAGTCTACCACTTCCCCCTGCAAGAGCATCCCCTCCTATCCTGCTCCCTGGCAATTACCACTGAGCCAAGAACCAAATGAAACCTTTCAAAACCCACACGGATCCTGCTCCTCCTCACTTAAGACTAGCTGGTAGCATCTTCCCTCCTTAGACATAGTCCAGACCTTCCCTGACCAGGTGTAGCCACACTCACCCCTACAGCTCTTCCTCCTCTGTCTGCAAAGCTCTGCCCCAAGGCTGTCCAGGGACTTCGAAAACACCTCCTGCCAGGGTATCTTCCCGGAGCGGCCCCTGTGAAACAGCCCCACCCTCCCCACCCAGCCGGCCTAGCCTGTTGCCGGAGCACCTGGCCCCGATACCACCATTACAGGTCTGTTGGTTTGGTTTTTGTCTGGGATTGAAGGGACTACACATGGGCTGCTGTAGCCGAGGGTCATGCCCGGCATGTTGCAGACAGTCAACAATTATATGATAAATAAGTGAATGAATGTAAAGATAACTATCCTCCTATCCTATTAGTTATAGAAATGTAGACAACTATCATCCTATCCTATTAGTTATAGAAATGTTTGTTTTGTTTTTTTGGTACCGGGGATTGAACTGAGGACCTTGCACTTGCGAGGCAGGTGGTGGCACCACTGAGCTAAATCCCTAGCCCTAGAATTATGCTTCTTAAACACTATTTTTTTTTTTTTTTTTTGAGACAGGGTCTTGCCATGTTGCCTGCGCTGGCCTTGAACTTGCAATCCTGAGCCCATAATCTATCACCTAAAACATAATTTAGGCACACACCTTTTCTCTGTAATTCCATTTAAATAATTTTAAAACTAAATACTTTTATGTTTACATGTAATAGAACAGAGTATGAGATACTGAGTCAAAACCTAAGCCCCTTCTATAGACAGCTCAGCCCAGAGAGGAAGTGCTGTGAACAGAGCTCTGAAACTCAAGGGCACATGGAGGGGACTAACTTCTGGACCATTATTCTTTTACTATACACATGGACTCTCTTGAGATAGGAAAATCAATTTCTTACATCTCTCTGACTTACAGCAGGTGAGTGAAATATATGGAGAATGTTTCAATTTTTAAAATGTATTACAGGGCTGGGGATTCAGGTCAGTGGTTCTACCACCTGCCTTGAAAGTGTAAGGTTCCGGAGTTTGATCCCTGCTACCCCCTCCCCAAAATATTACAGTAAAGAACACATACACACACAAAAGAACACACTGCCACGAATCCCTCTCAAAACCCTCCCCTGGCTTCAAATACACTTATCCCATTCTTGTTGTTATTTTCAGAAGCAGGTCTGGAGGTACTCTTTCATGAGTGTCTTTATGAAGTGTGATAAAAATCGCAGTGAGTGCTGCTGCCGAGTGCCATCCAACAAGAAAGGCAGGCTTCCGAAAACACCCGGCTTGTTCACTGATCCGGCACAGTGCGACTTCCGGCTCTTGCCTAAATCAAAATGCCCAAGAAAGGGAAATGTTTTGAATCAATTCAGGACATCAAGGCAGCCATGACAGAAAAAATACAGACACTCACGAGAGCCCTTTCAGAACAGCTTCAGAAAGTGGCGAGTATAATGAGATAAGAGTATCTGGAGGGAAAGGGAGTACTTTGGGAGGGATTCGTGGAAGTGTGGCTTTCAGTGTAATACTTTTTAAAATCTCAGCACGCCCCATAGTTTTTATCACCCCCCACTTGCCGTGCCGGCCCTCCTGTGTGGGCCAGGAAGCCTTTAATGCATCCTGAATTCTGAAACAGTAGCCACCATCTCCTGACTACTTGCTGGGTGAAGGACATGTTGCCTTGGTCACGTGCTACCTCACTTGATTCTCGGGAGCGTTCAGGGAGGGGTAACTGTTGTTCTCGTTCCCAATTGCTCCAGTGGGGGGTGGGGACTCGGGGGCGGGGAGCAGCCCGGGTTGTGGGCTTTTTAAGAGCAAATATGAAGAGACAATATGGCCATCAGGTGCATGGTTCCTCAAGTTTTTATCATAGAAAACTTCAAACATCTACAAAGAAGAGAAGAGAGTTTAATGAATTCCCACGAACCTTTCCTCAGCTTCAGCTAGAGCTGATTTAAAGTCAATCTGGGAACCTAATCTCACTGGAAGGGCCATAACAGAAGCATGTCCAGCGAGGTGGAGATCAGCCTACTACCCTGAACTCACAGCTCGGATCTCTTTTCATTTGAAAACTGACTTTGTGTAACATTCCCGCCCATTTTCAGGTTTTACGCTAGGCACTGACTTAGCTTACATAGAAATCACAAGTCCGCGCCAGAGGGAATGAGCTCGTGTAGACAGCAGCAGTTCTAGATGCTATGTGCAAACGCAAGGCTCTATTATGACAAGGACAGCAGACAGCCTAATTTCTGTTAATGCGACTTAGCTAGGAAAATGGGACTGGCAGTGTACAAAGCACATATCCATACAAAGCGAGGTGGCTGACACAGTTAGATTCAATAAAGAGAAGACACCTGGGGGAGGGAGAAACATCCAGGGAGGAGACGGAAGGAAGGAACCAGCACCGGCAGACAAGCAGTCCCTTCACAGGGTGCTCAGGTTAGGTGCCGACGAAAAGATTTAGCCCGAGCCAGGTCCCTGGGCTTCACCCTCTACCCTCACAACAAAGAAATCCATGCGCTTGTGCTACTGTTAAAGCAGCTTAATATTAGTGACCCTGCTGATTAGGATCACTTTGGAATGTTAGCCCCTACTTTCTTCTATCCCAGGCCCTCAAAAATGCCCTGAAAGGTAGGGCGCTGGAAAGCCAGGGCACTACAGAGTTCTACTCATTCCTCCTGTTACTCTGGCTCGCAGCGCCTGGCTCTTGTTATGGACAAAGACTTCATGTCCATCCCAATCACACCTTGTGCAATTTCTCTGGACCTTTTCCACAGGACCGAGGGTGAGGGGACAGAGCGAGGGTCTTAGTGGAACTCATGCATTTTCCTGGGTCCATGTGGAAATCTTGACAGCTGGAGCCTTTCTTTTGCATATCCTTGTTTCTAAACACAGAGGCAATGCTGATGAAATTTACTAGGCTGATAACTCTGGAGACCGGAAGCACTGAGTAGGAAATGACTCCAGGCAGGTGGCGTGGGTGTCTGCTCCGTTTCCCTGCTGAGGTGCTCTGCCTGAGGAAGGGTGATGGGCATACTTGGGGGCTTCTTCAAACCTTTCTTTAAAAAGTGTTAGCATTTAGAGGGAGAAAGCCAGACAACTTTAGACCAAAGCGCTGTCATCCCCTGGCCACATCATCACCAGCAGCTCCTGCCTGGCTGCCTGGCCTGAGTTTGAGCCCTTAGAATTCAGCATAGATGTTATGGTGCCCCCTTCATGTCATTTGTCTCCTCAAGACTGTCCCAATGGCTTCTGGTGTGCTCAGTTCTTCCAAAGGACGCAAAGTTCTTCCAAAGGATGGCAGGGCCCTGGAGGTCCGGTGCCGCTGTCACCCCTGCAGTCCCTCCACAGTGTGTGGCAGCTCCCCACCATCCTGGAGTCCTGGAGGCCTCTACCACCCGACCCTGCCATGCTGCACCTGTGCCCGGACCCTCTTCTGTCAGCCTTGGGTGTGAACCCTCAAGGGCAAGGCTCCTTGTGGGCATCAGGTAACACCCAGTGTGCTGCTGCCTCACCCGCACTGCTGCCCACCACACTGTACCGGTGAGAACTACACGGACAGAGCCGGGTTCCTTGACATCGCTGCTCACAGGAGAGCACGTGCTGGACAGAGGGGTCAGCACTGATGGGGCGAGGCTGGCTGGCTGCACTGTGCGCCCAAGCGCCGCCCCAGGTGCTACTCGTGCATGGACACAGATGTCCCGCCCATCCAGTTGTTCTCCTCCTGCTGTGGGTGGGGAGACTGACACACGACTTGGGGCTTGGCCAAGGCCACACAGCTGAGATATGTAAGAGGCTCAGGTGTCCTCTCTGATCCACGCTCTGGGTGCAGGTGAGAGAACCAGTCCAGGTGAGCCGTCAGGGAGAGGAGTGGAGCCCGGCCTCCCTATGCTGGCCCTGGGCCCCTGGCAGCTGCAGAGCCCATACAGCCAAACTTCTCAGACTGCTGCCACCCCGTCTTTATGCAACTAGAGATCTACACAAGCCCTGCATGGTGCCCGGCATGCAGTTAGCACTCGACAGATAATTTGGGGGGAAAAATGAATGAAAGATGACAGAATTTTTGGAAGCCAAGAAACTTTTCCATCAGCTCCACTCTGAAGGGGCAGGAGAACTCTGGCCAAGATGAGCTCCTCCCCAGCCTCTCCTAGGACCCAGGGCTGCGTTAGAGGACATGCTCCTCGGGAACAACCCCAGGCACAGAGGTGGACGGCAGGGATTCTGGGAGCAAACTTTACAGCAAGCTGCACCGGCAGCCAGCAGTGTAAAGCCTTCCACGCACAACCATCCCACTGTCCAGCGCCCGCCCCTTCGGGTCCACCCGCGGGAGCAAAGATGGATGATTCTACTGCACTTGTGATGTGTGTGTGTGCACATGCGTGCATGCATGCGGGGAGTAGCCGTGCCAGAGAGGGTCAGCAGGTGTGAGGGTCACAGAAGCATGGGTCCTGGGGCTCCCGCCTCTGTGCGAGGCCTGCCCGCCCTCCCATGTGGATGTCCATGAGTGCTGTTCACACAGCTCTTGTCCTCTTGTCCTCTTGCCAGACTCTGCCTGATCTTTGTGAGGACAGGAGTGCCTGCACATGTACAGTACGGACTACAGCAACAGTTAAATGTAGACCAGTCCCCTCCCCTCCTCCCCAGTGCCCTGCCCTGGGGGAAGCGAGGAAGCGTCCCAGCACCTGTGCCCACAGCTCAGTAGCACCTGGGCCAGGTGAGCATCTGTGGTGGGGCATGGCGCTGGTGCCATTGTATTGAGGGGCACTTCCCACCTGGTTCCCCCAAAGAGCCTGGGGTCGTTGACCACAGGGCTGTGGAGAGGAAGCTCCATGGGGTGAGACAGCTCCTCTTCCTGTCCCTCCAGACGTCACCCAGCGCAGACCTCCTTCAAGAGCTGGATCTCAAAGCCCAGGCGCAGTTCCTCACTTGCCTACCCGCCTCCAACAAGTGTGTGCTTAAAAATTCTGAGTTTTACTTGTGTATTTGAAAACATCACAATTGATTATGTATAGGTTTGATGTTTGTGTATCATTTATAATAAAACCTCTTATGAAACATTTTCTATGAATTTTAAAGATGGTTAAAATTGATAACGAATCCATGAGGTACCCTGTGCAAAGACTGTATGTGCCCTGTTTCTATTGCCCTCACTTCACAGATGGGAAAGAGAAGGCAGGGTGGGTGACGTCTCGGTCAGTGGCCAGGAAGTAGGCCGGGAAGGCACAGTATCCTCTGTCCAGCCTGTGCTCTCACGGTCAGGCTCACATGTGACAAGCAGCCTAGGGTCAGGGACGGTCAGGGTCTCTCAGTGACAAGAAAGTGGCCACAGCCTCTCACTTACAGCTAAGTGCAGTGGACTCTTGGTAGCACCGGAATCAGACTCTTCAAACCCAGTGTTGGTTCTTTCCAAAAGCTGCAGGGAAAAAGAAAGCAGTAGTCATTAAGTCCAATCTCACAAAGGGAATGGTACTCGCTCCATACTGGTGTTGGCATTAAATGAGAACACAGGCTTCAAAAACGTAAGAAATTAGGCAGCTTATCAGAGATATAAGAAATAAAGTGAGGCTCATCTAAAACAAATATGCTAAAATAGTCCAACTTCTGGGTCATCTCGGCATTCGCTACTCAAAAAAAGAAAAGATGCCCAGGTTACCTATCCAGAAAGATACTCGAAATCTGCATTTGCCTGGAGAAGAGGTAATGGTGAGAAAACGGTACTACCCGAGGTCTTCTCCAGTGTCTCACACACACTTCTGGAGATGGTGTGGAAAAGGGAAGGGAGGCTGCTCTCATGAAGCTTACACTCCAGAGAAAGGGAGCACAGCTAGGCAAACACCACAAGGACGACACCTGAAGGTGGTACGTGCTACGGTGAAAATGAAATAGGATTTCTTTCCTATGCTGGGTGTTTATTTTTTCCATTTCTTTCTTATGCTGGGCCTTCGTGGCTTCTATCATGGTCCTGAGCTCATCTATTTTTTTGTCGGTTTCTGCTCTAGAGTCTCGAATCACGACTTCCATTTTTCTCACTATCTCTATGTTTATCTGGGAAATTACTTCTGTTTTGAATTTTTCTAGAGCCTGATTGATCTGTTTTGTTACTTCCTGTGCTTTGAGTTCAGGGTGTCCTGGTGGTTCACTATCGACCTTTTCATCCTCATTTGCCCTACTGTTTGCCATTGGTGAACTGGAAGTCTGTCTTTGTGTCTTGCTTAAGTGTTTTCTCATTTTTATTTTTGTTGTCGTACTGTCTTTGGTTTAATCATCACCCAAATCTTCCTGATATATAAAACAGATATCCAGGAGATTAAACACGCCATTGAAAGTGTACACAACAGAATAAAAGAATGTGAAGATAGACTCTCAGATATAGAAGATAAGATTGTAGTCAGTGACCATGAAAAGACAGGTCTCTTAAAAACAGTAAGAGATTATGAGAAATCGATCCAACAACTCCTAGATGATGCAAAGAAGAATTACATAAGACTGATAGGAATACATGAAGTAGTAGGAGAAAATACAAATGACTTAAAAAAGCTGTTTGCAGAATTAATGACAGAAAACTTCCCAAACAGAGGGGAAGGATTTGACATTCAGATAACTGAGGCATATAGGACCCCAACTAGCCACAATCAAAAAAAATCTACACCTAGACATATAATAATCAAGATCCCAGAAACTCAACAGAAGAACAAAATACTACAAGCAATAAGAGAAAAGAAACAAATCACATGCAAAGGAAAGCCCATCAGAATCACAGCAGACTTTTCAACACAAATCATTAGGGCAAGGAGAGCCTGGAATGAGATATTTCAAGTATTAAAAGAGAACAACCTCCAACCTAGACTGATGTATCCTGCAAAACTCTCTTTCAAAATGGATAGGGAAATAAGACACTTCCACGACAAAGAGCACCTGAGAAACTACATGAATACCAAAACAGCACTACAAACAATTCTAAACAAGATCCTAGAAAAAGACAATGAAGGCAACAACACCATGAGGCCCAACAGAGCAAATCAAATAGGCAAGGCAAGAAACTAAAAGGAGAAGGTGAAAAAGTAAAAAGAGTCAACAAAAGGCCAATAACATGTCAATAAGAAGTCAGTACATATCAGTTATAACCAGCAATGTCAATGGCCTCAACTCACCAATCAAGAGAAATAGACTGGCAAAAGGGAATAAGAAGCAAAATCCAACAATATGTTGTATACAAGAAACACACCTAGTGCAAAAAGAAGCCCATAGACTGAAAGTGAAAGGATAGAAAACAATTCTCCATGTGACAGGAGCCCAGAAAAAAGCAGGGGTAGCAATCTTATTTGCAGACAAAGCAAATTTCAAACCAAAGCTGATTCTAGTATTATTGATGTAGGACGGTACTGTATCATACCTCTGTGAATGTAAAATATCTTGTACCTGCTTTATGATACAGAGTAGTGACTGTGCCTTATCAGAGCTATATTTAATGATAATATTCTAGAATGTTCTCTTTCCAGATGACGATTAAGATGCTAATAAAAAAATGGTGCCAGGTACCACAACAGCAACAGAACTTTGCTGTTTTCTGGATATTATTCTTTTCTTTGTTTTTTTTTGTTGTTGTTGTTTTGTTTTGTTTTTTTAATGGAATGTGCTGAATGTCTATAATTTTGTTCAGGTGACTGCAGAACCTGGAAAAGCTATTGCTGCTATCAATGCATAACATACTGCTATTATTAGCCTTTTTATATAAATATAAATATATATATGTATATATATATATATACATATATATACATATATTTATAAACTGAATTTTGGGAAACTTTAATGGTGCTGTCAACTTTGGAAAAAGTTATCCCAATTTACTGCGTTGAGTTGGCATTGTACAGAAATGGACAGCCATATTGGTCTAGAAATGTTAATTTTTTACATTTATTTATTTTTTATTCCATGTGTACAGGGGTAACACATTATACTAAATATGTAAGGTCATATCTATGTGGATTTGATTACAGAAACTAATAAAGTATTCTCTAAATAATGAAAGAAAGAATAAGATAAGACTACAAGAGCAAGAAGCAATTTAAATATGTTCAGGGACCATGTTCATCTCCACAATTAAGGATTATTTTAATGTTACATCATTGCCTTTTCTCTCGTATTTTCCTTTTTAGTTTTATTTTAGGATTCCCTATTTTTAATGTTTATACAGAGATTTCTTTAACTGAAATACCGAATAGTTTCTCTGGTGTAAAAAACTATAATAGTACCCAGGATCCTAATGAGATAATTAATAATGTGAAATAGGAAGTGAAGGGCTAAAGGTGTAGGGCAAGTGGGAAGGGTAGGGGAAAGGTAATAAGGGAGAGGAAAAAAATATGAGAAACTGAAAAAATGGAAATAAAGTGTTTGTAAATGGGGAGGGGAGGAGGGGTGAAGGGAGGGCAGGGACAAAGGGAAAAAATGAGAATCAAGATCTATTATGCAAAGGTACAGGATCCCAATGATGAATGTAACTGTATTGTATACCTAGATTGTACCAATAAACTCAATTTAAAAAAAAAAAGAAAATGAAATAGGATGACATAGCATGAAGTGCTGGGGATTGCTTCCAAGCACATGGTCAGGGAGGCTCTCTCCCAGGAGATGATATTTCAAATGAGTGCTGAAAGCCTGGTGTGGTGGTACATGTCTATAGTTCCAGCACTTAGGAGGCTGAGGCAGGAGGATTGCTAAGAGTCTGAGATCAGCCTGGGCTACACAGTGAGTTCAAAATCAGCCTAAACTACATACCAAGTCCCCGTCTCAAAACAAACAAAACAGTGAGCGCTGAATGAGAATAAGGAAACCTTTGTGCACCACTTTGACCCCAGGAATTAATTCCCAATAAAGAATCAGACAAACGCAGGAGAAGGGCAGGGATCAAGACAGTAAGCACCTCACAGATGCATAAGGACGGGTTACAGCACCCAGACTCTGGGCGGAGCACTGCAGGTTCTAGGAGGAGCCAAGTGCTGTGAGAATCTACTGCCCATAGGGGGCGTATGGTGGAGAAAGAGCCTTATGGGTGCTGGGATGGCAGCAGGCCAATGGGGAGACTGCAGGAATGGGTGTGCCCCGGACCAACTGCTGAGGAGACCCAGAGAGATGGGCAAGGGTGGCAGGCGGGAGCTGGGTGGGGACGGCGCACGGGCTGGCGCATGGAGCGAGCTGGTGGATGCTACTGTCAGGATTCTGATTTTTTTTCTGAGCGAGACAAATCCACTGGGCTATAGCGACATGGTGGCATAGAAGGGAGAAAGCCCTAAAGATACACATTCTACAATATTTAACACAATAACCCCAAGTGGGATGGCTGATGGGTTATTATATTTTCTGACTTTTTTAAAAAACAGAATGTGTATCGCTACTATAATCAGAAAAACACCAAAGCTGTTTTGATTTGGAGACAACACTCTTAACTTTCCAGTTTATTTGATATAATGATGCCATAGATAAGTATAGAAATCCTCAGATAAGTACAGAAACCCTTTCTGATCATTGTATGTGGGACAAAACACTATGATGCTAGGGTTCTTTGGTGGATCAGTTAACAATGTAAGAATTAACAGCTCAAAGCATGACAATTTACAAATAACACGATACAAATAATCATACTGGAAACGAGCTATTTCTTATTTGTTCCTTCTTAGTGTAAGAATAGAATTGGAAACTTAGACTACAACTTACTAAAATAATAAAAAGAGATTTAATTTTAACTTCAAAGTAACTAACTTTAAAACACCCCTCGTCCTACATAGTTGAAACGAAAGGGGCCCTCTGGCTTGCTACGGCTGGCACACACCTGCTTTTGTTTTGATTTGTAACACCTGCAAGACTTCCTGGAATTGACGGTGTGTGCCGACACCAACTCCTGCCCCAGAATGAACTTTCCACCAAAGGCTCGCAGACTCATTTTCCTATCACAAACACGGCAGATGGGAGGAAAAGACGGCATTCTGTTTACAGCCACAAGATCAGACATTTCCTGCAATGTTCTTTATTGAGTGAAATCTTTCTGCAGGCGTAGCCGGATTTTTCTCCGCCACGTGATACTTTATTTCACTGTGCAGCAAACATCTGCTCGGCGTGTTCTACCCCTGGACCCTCGGTTTAGCACCAGAATTCAACAGTGTGGTGAGCAGATGTTGGCACTGCCCGGACAGCTCAGGCTGGCAGGGAGCGCATGGCACTGCATGGGCCCTCGAGGAAGGGACGGAGAAATGCAGTATGCTCTGGGAACACGGAAGAACCTGCCAGAGTCAGGGCCAGAGAAGGAGCCTCCGTAACAGTACCCAGCCTGAGTGTGGATGACAGGAGTTGGCCAGGCAGGGCAGGGGGCCGGCCAGGCGGAAGGAAGGGCAAGTGAGAGCAGTGTGCGCAGCACAC